AATAAATAAATAAATATATATATATATATATATATATATATATATATATATAGACACACACACACATATATTTGGCACATAATATATAGAAATCAATGTAGTCTTGTGTCAGATAAGTATGTTGTTACATCACAAATTGGAAATTGCATTTGTTTATAAGCCAACACCATAGGTAAATTTATCTTGCATTTACCACATACCTACTAAAATTCAAGTTGTGTTTTTTCTTTTTCTTTTTGCTAGTGGGGCTTGAACTCAGGTCCTAGGCACTGTCTCTGAGCTTTAGTGCTCAAGACTAGTATTCTGCTACTTCGAGCCACAGCTCCACTTTGGTTTTCTGGTAGTTAATTAGAGATGAGAGTCTCATGAGTTTTCCTGCCCAGGTTGGCTTCGAACAACAATCCTCAGATCTCAGCCTCCTGAGTAGCTAGGATTATAGGCATGAGCCATCAAAATTCAAGATTTTATGTTATTAACTAAAAATCTTAATAATTTGCAAAATGGAAGAAGTTAAATTCATATAAATTTATATTTGTAAAGGATTCATATTTCATATGATTTAATATTTCAAAACCTGGACCCCATTCTTTACCTAACTCCAATACTTTTCAGAGTGTACTCAGATTATTTTCAGGTGCCTACCTCTTATCTATAGCTCACGTTTACCTTATTCTAGGCTGGGTATAGTGGCTCATACCTTCATCTCATCTAGTTGGGAAAAGGAGATTAGGAAGATTGTGGTTTGAACCCAACCTGGAGAAGTTGGTAGTTGGCATGGTGGGGCACATCTCTGATCCCAGCTGTGTGGGAGGAATGAGAACAATTACATTTGGAGACCAGCTCCAGATAAAAAGCAAGTCCCTAATCAGAACAGTAACTAAAAAGTAAAATGGAAGCTGGGTGGTGGCTCACGCCTATAATCCTAGCTGTTCAGGAGGCTGAGATCGGAAGATCACGGTTCAAAGCCAGCCCGGGCAGGAAAGTCCATGAAGCTCTTATCTCCAATAAACCACTAGAAAACCGGAAGTGGCCGCTGTAGCTCAAGTGGTAGAGCGCTTGCGCAGAGACAGCGCCCAAGCCCGGAGTTCAAGCCCCATAACTGACCCAAAAAAAAAAAAAGTAAGATGGACTGGAGGCATACTTCAGGTGATAGAGTTCTAGGTTCTACATTCAAACCATTTTTATGTATGTTTCCCCTTACCTCCCTCCTCCCGAGCCCCTTTATGGTCCCTTTCCCTACCCCTCTCAGAGCACCCATCCTATTACATTGTTTCATCTGTTTCTAACTTTTTCCCCCCAAGTTCTGGGGCTTGAATTAAGGGCCTGGGCACTGAGCTTCTTTTGGTCAAGGCTAGCCCTCTACCACTTGAGCCACAGTGCCATTTCTGGCTTTTTTTGTTGTTGTTGTTTGTTTATGTGGTACTGAGGAATCAAAACCAGGGCTTCATGCATACTAGGCAAGCCCTCTACCACTAAGGCACATTCCCAGCCCGTTTCTAACTTATTTTTAAGTGTTTACATGTGTGGCTTATATAGTCAGTGCTAATACCTTACAATTTCAACTGTCTCAGATTTTCTTTTTCTCACTCTATCCCAACCTGGCCTTGAACTGGTGATTCTCCTGCCTCAGCCTTCTGGGTGTTAGGGTTATAGGTCTGCACCACACAGATTATGGCTAGATTTGTCTTCTGATGTAAATATTTTTTTTATTTTTTTTTCTTTACCCTGATATAAATATTTTTAAGTGATAAATTCTGTATTTACTTTCTATTATTTAAAGACCCAGTTTAATAGGATGGTACCAAACCTTAAGTTTTTATTGCTTCATTTTAAATATTGTGACTTTCTTCATCATAGTTGTCTATTGTACTACAGATGTATAGATAGTACTCACGTAAACACACTCTATATATCCGATATGTGTCAGTCACATAACACATATTTAAATATCTGATGTGTATTGTCTAAGATTTACATCATGATTTGTTTTTTTTTTCTGTTACCCAAAAAAGAAAGCTTAACATTCTTTAGTAGAAAGTTACCACAAAAAAGGTAGCAATGTAGTCTTATATGCATGGTGTGTTTTATACATATTATAGAACATCAGCTAAATTGTGGGTAAATATTAAAATGATTTTATTATTGCTTTAATATACAAATTAACTTCATTTTTACTGTAGTTTCTTAATAATTTTAGTTATATTTTATTAGCTTTATAAAGCTATGCTTTTTTTTAATGATCATTTCCTAAGGTTCTGATCAGAAATCTACGATTCACTCCAAATCCTCTCCTGAGATTGCTCTGAGGTTTGAAAGTGGGCCTGGTGCTGTCATGCACTCTTTGCTAGCAGAAAAAAATGGATTTTTGCAATGCCATATAGAAAACTTCAGCACTGAATTCCTTACATCTTCTCTTACGAATATTCAACATTTTTTGGAAGATGAAACTATTGCAACAGTAATGCCAATGAAGATACAAGTTTCTAACACAAAAATAAATTTGAAAGTAAGTTAATAGATAATTTTATGTTTTGATGCTATGTATCAACCAAAGCTTGTACAGACATGTTTGTAACTCTTTTAAAATAGGATTGATAGAAGCAGTTCGTATTTACATTGATTTTTCTAATTTTTTCACCTACTTTACTAAGAACATACAAATATTTCTCCTACCTCTAGGATGACAGTCCTCGGAGTAGTACAACATCCCTTGAACCAACTCCTGTAACTGTACATATTGATCATCTTGTGGTAGAGAGAAATGATGATGGCTCTTTTCATATCAGAGGTATGTATGAAAAGTAATACAAATGATCACCTCTGATTTTGAAGTTAAATTACTTACCTGCAGATTGTTTCTGATGGTTTTCTTCCCCAGTCATTGTTTATTTTATGTGTGTATATTTGCAGTAGTAGATGATTGAGGAATACTTTAAGTGCATTACAATAAAATACCATCAATACATAGAACCTGAAAATTACTCATCTATAGTTGTCTTAATACTTGTTTTGCAAATCTGTCTTGAATGAAAATGAGAGGTTTTTATGGTTTTATATGGTTCTTGATCTTAAATCTGCTTCTTACTTGAATTCTTAGCTTTATTTCTCAATTGTTTCTCTCTCTCCATCTCCCTCTTTCTCTTCGTGTGTGTGTGTGTGTGTGTGTGTGTGTGTGTGTGTGTGTGTCTGTGTCTGTGCTTGAACTCCAGGCCTCGAATTCTTATTCAGCTTTTTCACTTACAACTTGTTTTCTATCACTGGAGCCATGCCTCCATTTCTGGCTTTTTGCTAGTTAACTAGAGCTAAGAGTATTTATCTGCCTGGCTGGCTTTGAATTTTGATTCAGAATTCTCAGCCTCCTGAGTAGCTAGGATTATAAGTAAGAGCCACTGATGCCTGGTCCCACTATTTTTTTTTTTAATCATTTGTGGGTATTGAACTCAGGGTCTGAGCACTGTCCCTGAGCCTCTTTGTGCTCAAGGCTAGTGCTCTTCCACTTAAGCCACAGAGCCATTTCTGGTTTTTGAATAGTTAATTTCTGTCCAGGCTGGCTTTGAACTGCATTCCTCAGATCTCATCCTCCTGAGTAGGTAGGATTACAGGTATGAGCCACCTGCACCCAGCCCATTATTCTTTTGTTGTTGTTGGTGGTGGTGGTGGTGGTCATGGGGCTTGAACTCTGGGCTTGGGCCCTGTCCCTGTGCTCTTCAGCTCAAGGTGAGCTCTCTACTGCTTGAACCACTTCCCGGTTTTCTAGTGGTTTATTGGAGATAAGAGTCTCTCGGACTTTCCTGCTAGGGCTGGCTTTCAACCATGATCCTCATATCTCAGCCTCCTGAGTAGCTAGGATTACAACCTGAGCCACCAGCGCCCGGCTCCATTATTATTTTATGTATGCACCCAATCTGGTCTTTTTCTTGTAATAGAATTTATAGTTTTGTTTTGTTTTTTAATCACCTTCTTGTTTTTCTTTGTTTTTTTTTTGTTGTTGTTTTGTTTTTGGTCAGTTATGGGCTTGAACTCTGGGCCTGGTTGTTTTCCCTGGGCTCTTCAGCTCAACGCAAGCGCTCTACCGCTTGAGCCCCAGCACCACTTCCGGTTTTCTAGTGGTTTATTGGAGATAAGAGTCTCATGGAGTTTCCTGCCCAGGCTGGCTTTGAACCATGATCCTCAGATCTCAGCCTCCTGAGTAGCTAGGATTACGGGCGTGAGCCACCGATGCCTGGCACCTTCTTGTTCTTCTTTAGAATTGCTTCTAAATTATGTTCCATCTTTCCAAAGTTATTTCTGCCCCGCTTTCTTCCTTCCTCCTTCCCTTTTTCCCATTTGCTTTTCTTCTTCCCCTCCCTCCTTTTCTCTGATTCTTTCTTCTCTCCCTCCTTAGTGCCTAACTCATGCTAAGCAAGCATTCTATCACTGACCTCTACCCCTCCTTCATGCTACTTTTCTTTTTTGTCATTTGTGGGGCTTGAACTCTGGGCCTGGACTCAGTCCCTTAGCTCTTCAGCGCAAGGTGAGCACTCTACCACTTGAGCCACTGTGACATTTCTGGTTTTCTAGTTGTTTGTTGGAGATAAGAGTCTCAGGGTCTTTCCTGCCTGGGCTGGCTTTGAACTGTGATCCTCAGATCTCAGCCTCCTTAGTAGCTAGGATTACAGGTGTGAGCCACCGGCACCTGGCTAATTCTACTTCTTTTTAATGAGGCATTCTTTATTATCTTATATGAATTTTTCATATAATACAGTACTTTTCTGTGTATTAGTTTTTTTTTTTTTTTTTTTTTTTTTTGTCGACAGTCATGGGGCTTGATCTCTGGGCCTGGGCTCTTCAGCTCAAGGCTAGCACTCTGCCACTTGAGCCACAGCACCACTTCCGTTTTCTGAGTGGTTTATTGGAAAGATAGAGTCTCACTGACTTTCCTGCCCAGGCTAGCTTTGAACCGTGATCCTAAGATCTCAGCCGTTGGCCTCCCGGCTCTGTATATTAGTTTCTTATAGTATGTTGCTAGGTATTTAATTCATTTGATTAATTTAAGTAATTTCTTTTTTTTTCATGGTTAATCTTAACTAAAGATTTGTCAGTTGTCCTGATCTTTTCAAAGAATGAACTTTTGATTTTACTGATTTTTTTTCCCCGCTATTTTCTTTTTTCTTTTTTTGTCAGTCATGGGCATGAACTCTGGGCCTGGGCGCTGTCCCTCAGCTCTTCAGCTCAAGGCTAGTGCTCTACCACTTGAGCCATAGCACCACTTCTGGCTTTTTATTTTTCTGCTTATGTGGTGCTGAGGAATCGAACCCAGGGCCTCAGTCATGCAAGGCAAGCGCTGTACCACTGAGCCACCTTCCCAGCCCTTCCCGCTGTTTTTCTTTCATGCTGTACTCATTAATGAGGATATCATTTTTAAAATAGTTTTTTTTTACAACAATTTAAAGATGTCAGATATTTGGAAATGTTACTTGAGTCTTTTATTTGCTTGATCAGATTCTCATATGTTTAACACCGAAAATGATTTGAAAGAAGATTTCAAAAGTGATTCAGTGCTGATGACTGGTGATACGTATGAGCTGAAGAAACAGCCCAGTGTCACTCAAGCCACTCAGACAAGCCCAGATGTTCCTGAGTGCTCATTTCACTTTACTAAGGAACAGGTAATGGGAAGCCTAATGTAGAGTAATCAAATAACAGTAATATATTAATAGTTAAAACAACATTTGTTTACTTAAATAAAATATATTGAATGCCTGTTATGCACAGTACTGTGCTAGAAAGTATGGTTTTAGTGTTAAGATAAAGAAAACACTAATTCCTTGTACAATCTTACAATAATATGTTATTTTTATTCTTGGGCCTTTTAAAAGCTTATTCAAGTATATTTTTATGTATTCAGCAAGCTTTTCATATGGCTACATTTGCTTCATACAAATGATAATATATCCTCAGCTATTGTAGTGGCTGACATCCTCCTAATTTGACAGCTGAGGATATATGATCATTTCTGAACTCTCTTAACATTGGTTAACATTCACATTATTTATTTCCTGTTACTATAAAAAAATGTTAGCAGAACCTGCTAAATGAGGATTTATGTACTCCTGTAGATTCTTGATCAAACCCTATACAGTCCTTGTATTGAAAAATTCAGTCTATCAGGAAAGAGTTTGCAATCACTGGTTAGGACATTTTGTCTCAGGGGCTACACCTCTGATTGGAATTACCCCCACTTAATTTGGGAACTCTTTGAAATTAGAAGCTATGATTTAATGCATCTCTGTATATATAGGAAGACCGTGGCTTTATCATATCCTCATACTTACATGGGTTAGCAAATTCCTCTAAGGAGACAAAATGCTTGAACTAAGTCTTAAAAAAGGAGGACAGAGCTATTATGGATTATGTTCAGAATGTGAGTCTGGAACTCAAGAGAAAGTTCAATGCTAGCTCAGTCTATCTATAGAGGAGATACCCAAGAGAATGACTTAAATGATAAGAGAAAACAACCAACCATTAAATCTAATAGAATGACAATGTAAGCATTCTTAAGAAATAAAAAAAAAAGGACCTATGGCACCCGGATTTCACATCTGTAATCCTAGCTACTCAGGAGGCTGAGGATCTGAGCATCTAGGTTAAGAACCAGTCCAGGCAGGAAGTCTGTGAGGCGCTTATCTCCACCAAAAAGCTGGAAGTGGAGCTGTGGAGCTCAAGTGGTAGAGTGATAACCTTGAGCAAAAAAGCTCAGGAGTAGTGCCCATGTCCTGAGTTTAAGCCCAAGAACTAGCAGAACTGGCAGGTGTATGCATGCACATGCATGTGTGTGCACACAATACACACACACGCACACACACAGAAAAGAAAAAAGTTTAGGAAAAGATGAAAAGTGGCATAAGTCAAGAGGGATAAACATGAAAGAACTATGTATAGCATAAAAGCTGGAAATGGATCTAGGCATGGTGGCTCACATCTATAACTCTAAGCTACATGGGAAGCTGAGATTGGTAAGATGACAGCTCTAAGCCTGTCCAGGCAAATAGTATATAAAACGTCTTCTCAACCAATAGCTGGATGTGGTAACACTTGCCTAACATCATAGCTGTGCAGGAGTTTTTTTTTTTTTTTTTTTGTCGGTCGTGGGGCTTGAACTCTGGGCCTGGGCGCTGTCCTTCAGCTCTTCAGCTCAAGGCGAGCGCTCTACCACTTGAGCTACAGCGCCACTTCCGGTTTTCTGGTGGTTTTATTGGAGATAGGAGTCTCACGGTCTCTCCTGCCCGGGCTGGCTTTGAACCGTGATCCTCAGATCTCAGCCTCCTGAGTAGCTAGGATTACAGGCGTGAGCCACCAGTGCCCGGCTTGTGCAGGAGTTAAGAGATTGGAGGGCTTTCTATTCCAGGAGAGCCAGGGGAAAATGTTCAAGAGACTCACACAGAAAAAAGCTGGGAGTGTTAGTATACCTCTGTTGCCCCAGCTAAGTGGAAAGCATGATAAATAGGAAAATTGTGGTCCAGGCATGGCCCTGGACAGCACAAAAGATCTTATTTCAAAATAGGTGTTGTAAAATAGGACTGGATTCATCGCACAACAGTATAGCACTTCTATAACAAGTGCAAAGGCCTCAGTTGAAACCCTAGTATCGCCAATTAAAAACAAACACACAAAGTGAAAAAGAAGACACTTGGAAGGAGAAAGGGTCTGCAATGTCTAAGGCCACAGAGAAATCCAAGGACCCTTTATTAAATTGGAAATGAAGAGTTAGAGTTTTAAATTGCTGGATAAAAACTTAGGATGTTTTAAATTGCATGATAAGTGTTTCCCAATAGCTTCTCAAAGCAGTTTTTAGCTTAAGTGGGCTCTTTCCAACAGTGATTTTTTTTTTTAAATCCCAAATGTCATACCCATGAATAAACTATATTTCCTGGAAATGATGACGTTCCTTCTGTTTTCCAAATGTATTATTTCAGCTCATGGAAGAGAATGAATCACTTAAACAAGAACTGGCTAAAGCTAAAATGGCTCTTGCAGAGGCTCACTTGGAAAAAGATGCACTTCTTCATCATCTAAAGAAGATGACAGCTGAATAGCAGCAAGGGCCATCAGAACTCAGGTCACAGCTATGGAGTAGGAAAGTTATGTTTACAATTCAGATGTTATCAATTAGTGGAAGACTTTCCTTTTCTTGAAAATAAAATGAAATGGAATGTGATGACGTTGTGACTGTTCCAAAGCCATTTTTAGAAAGTTATTATAAATGAGCATTACCATCTCTCCTGTTTTATGTTTGGGATTTAACCTTCTTCTCAACTGGTGTAAACTAGAAATCAGCACATACTGTAAAATAATTACATGCCTAGTGAAAAGAAGATACCATTTCCTAATTTTAATATCTCATACATTTTTAAAAAGACAATGAAAACCTCTGTGTTCATGCAGATTGTTGAATTTATTTCTGTGTGTTAATAATTTACTGTTATTACAGACTCAGATGCTCTTAGGGCTAATGTAAAATAAAGAGGCTTACATTTAAATGTTATTAAAATTATGTACTTAAATCTATAATTATTTAATTACTGTAAAATTTCTAATCAGTAATTATATAATTACTGAGTTTAAGAACTCTAAAATATCTTCACCTTTCTGGACTTACAAATTTACTTAAAAATGTGAAAAAAACCCACTTTTAAAATGATGTGGTAAACTCTGTTTGTAGAAGCTATAATTTTCAACAAAAAGATGGTACAAATGTAAAAATAAAAAAGCACAAATATTAGAGTATATACCAAGTGACTTAAAAAGCATTACTTGTACATTCCTTTAAACATTTATTGTTAGAAGAGTAATTTAACTGCTAAATTTGACAGCATTTGTTACTATAAAAATTATAATTAATACTATTTATATTTCTTTATCTTTCCTCTTTACGAAGAAGGGTTTGGAGAATTTTTTTTCACACACATAAAACAATTCATACCATTGTATTATTTTACATGGGTATTTGCACACTCTGAATTTATAAAGCTAGTTTTGATTAAAGCTCTATATGATATATATGTGTGTATATATACATACACACAAAATCTTCTATAATGAGTCATTAGTAAAATTTGAATTCTATTTTCTAGAGATTAATGTTGAAGACATGAGAGAATCTCAGCAATCATGTTTATGAACTAAAAGTATGAGAGTGTTTAAGAAAAGCTTTTGGAAAAGGATTTAAGTTATATTTCCAATAGAATGAAAGTAAATGCTGTCTATTTTAAAATTGGCATTTTTTTCTTTAAAAAGTATATATATACTTAAGGCATACAGTGTGATGTTTTTGTATACAAACACATAATGGGATGATTAGTGTAGTAAAGCAAATTAACATGCCTACCATCTCGCAGTTAACTTTTTAAAAAGTTGCTTAAACATATCTAAGTAGAACATGAAATAGTTGTAACTGCTTTCTTTAGGATACTTGAGAATTCTAAACCACATTGCAACACTTGATGGTGCTTTGCTTGTTTGGCATGACTTACATAGCTGCCCCTACACCGAGTGCTTGGGAGAAGTATCTATTTCATTTACATTAAGTTAAAGTAATGGGTGATTTAGGTTTTCCTGAAAACAGTGAAAACTTGCTCACCTTTTCTGTCATTTTAATTGACCTTACTTAGAAATACATGCACTGTATGGGGAGCTGAGGCTGTAGCTCAGTACATAATATTAAAGTTTTACCTTGGAGTATTTTAAAAATAGTGTTAAACTATATTACTCTAAAATTGTATAGTAGCCGTAGAGTCAATACAAAGGTATAATTAAAGGTTTTAAATGTATAGTGTAGGTCCTTTTATTTGTATAGGTACATAAACAGCAGCAAAGGCCGTCTCTCATTGAAAAGGACTGATGATACATTAACTTTTTTTTTTTTTTGGGTCCAGTCATAGGCCTGAACTCTGGGCCTGGGCGCTGTCCCTTAGCTCTTCAGATCAAGGCTAGCGCTCTACCACTTGAGCCACAGTGCCACTTCCGGCTTTTTTTTCCTGCTTATGTGGTGCTGGGGAATCGAACCCAGGGCCTCATGCATGCAAGGCAAGCGCTCTACCACTGAGCCACCTTCCCAGCCCCCACATTAACTTCTTTTGAGCCAATTGTGTTGTTCTCAAGATTGACCTTTCTATATAAATTTAAATTTTTTCTATGGTATATTATAATTGTTTAATATTATAGAATCGAAATATTTCCTTATTCCTTTTCAAGGTACATGCCCTTCCCAAACAAATCATAAACAACAGAGATGATAATATTTTGAGCATTATATATACTTTGTTAGGTTTCTTTTAGTTTATAAGAAGTAGTATTTTTTATAGAACTTTAAATTTTATGAAACACCTCCAAAACATTACCCAATATAATTCCCACAACCAACCTGAGAAGTAGATATTATTTGGTTTTGGGGAGTTTGGGAAAAGAAACAACAAAACCAACAATAAACCCTGAAGACAGGAAGATCAAGTGAGTCAGCTAGACCCACAGTTAGGCTTTTGACTTAAAGCCCAGTTCTATGCTTTCATTTTAGCTTCATAATTCACAGATTTGCTGGGTCAGGAATAGGGCAAGAGTCACTGTCTTACCTGTTTGCCTTTTAAGATGACTATAATATTTTTAGTAGTGTGTATTATTCAAATTACTTGAAAGTAATGGGACTATTTTTGCATCAAGGAAGTATTTAACAGGGTGAGAAATACCAGAAATGACTATTAATTAGAAATAGAGTTGTCATATCTTAAATTGTGTTGGTTATATCTCTAACAAATAGATGCTAATGATCAGGGATTGGAAATGGTAATTGTGTTTTTTTAATTTTTCTTTAGGAGAGCTATGTTTTTAAATTTTTAATTGGTAAGTAAAAGTGAAATCTTTATGATATATGATGTTTTTGCTATTGGTATTTATTGTGGAACGGCTAAATCAAGCTATTTAACATACATATTACCTCATTTTTTTGTAATACTTAAAAATCTATTCTCACCAGTTTTCAAATAAATAGTAGCATATTGTTATTGGCTATAGTCACCGTGATGTATATGTTCTGAATTTATTCCTCCTAACTGAAATCATATGTATGCTTTGACCCACATTTCCCCACACCAACCCCCATAGCCTTTGATAACCACCATTTTAATATCTGTTTCTATGCATACAACTTTCTTGCAAGCCACATAAAAGTGAAATCATGCAGTGTTTGTGTCTCTGTGCCTGGCTTATTATACTTGGCGTAATGCCTCTAGGTTCATCCTTGTTATAAATTACAGGGTTTCCTTTTTACAAAAGGCTGAGTATGCCTATAATCCTAGCTGAAAATTGACACTGAAGTTTGAAGCCAGCCCAGGTAGAAAAGTCTGTGAGACACTTTATGTCCAGTTAACCAGCAAAAGCTTGACAGGGTGTGGTTCAAGTGGTAGAATGCCATCAAGCCAAAAGTATGAGCAGGAAGCCCTAGCTAAAGCTACAGTATTGGTGCATGCACAGGTGCACGCACGCACACACATACACATACACACAAAGGCTGAGTAGTATTCTATTGTGTATGAATTCCACATTTCCTTTATCCATTTATTAGTTAACATTTAGATTATTCTTTTTTTTTTGGGGGGGGGTCCTGTCATGGGGCCTGAACTCTGGGCCTGAGCACTGTCCCACAGCTCTTCAGCTCAAGGCTAGCGCTCTACCACTTGAGCCACAGCGCCACTTCCGGCTTTTTTCTTTTTAATTATGTGGTGCTGGGGAATTGAACCCAGGGCCTCAGGCATGCAAGGCAAGCGCTCTGCCACTGAGCCACCTTCCCAGCCCGTATGGAGCAGATTTTAATATCCCTGTTTGTATATTTCTTTTTAAGAGATGTTCAGATCATTTGCCCATTTTTATAATTAGATTGTTTCTTTGCTGTTGAACTGAGTTCTTTACATATTTTGTATAGTATCCCTTACCAGATATACAAATGGAGGTGGTATATCTCTTATCCTCCCGGCTGATGGTTGCTTTGCTGGGCAGAAGCTTTTCAGTTTGATATAATCCTGTTTGTTTTTGCTTTTGTTGCTTGTGTGTTGGGGTTATATTAAAAACAAAACAAAAAACTTCTCTAGCACCATTTGTTGAAGAGAATATCTTTTCCCCATTGTGTGTTTTTGAAACTTTTTTGAAAGCTCAATTGATTCTAAATGCATGGACTTATTTCTGTGCTGTGTATTGTATTTCATTGTGTATTGTAGTCTCTGTATGTTTTTAATGTCAGTGTCACACTGGTTTTGGGTTTTTTTTGATAGTATAGCTTTCATGTAGATTTTCTATGTTTTCCTTTTTAATTTCATGCATTTCATATTACCCAAGAACCTCAAAATAGCACCATATGCTAGTTAGGCCTATTAAGATGGTGTATGATCACAGGAAAACATACGTGGAAACATTTAACTGCACAGACTTTCCTGGGTTTTACATTTTTATTGTTCAGTGCATGCCATTATGAAAATTGTGTTTCCTCTAACGATTTTCTGTTTTAGTCTAGTCAAAGTATCTTTCTCAGTGTCTGACATCTTAGCCAATCTTGGTTCCCAAACTGGTAACCTATAACTATGTTAAGACATCTTTCACTCCCCATCATGTCATCACCAAGTACCGTCATTTCACCTCTTGAGCTCGCTTCACTTTTCACCACTCCAAATCTTGGCTGCATCATCACCGTTGTCTGCATGATTGCATTGTCTCCTCCCTGGTCTTCTTGCAATTATTCTGGCTCTCCTGGAACTCTCCCTTCTGTAAGCAGAATCCTTTTTAATTCAGAGTGCAGAGTTGTTGCTTTTTGTTTTTGTTTTTTTGCTGGTCCAGGGGCTTGGACTCTGGGCCTAGGTGCTGTCCCGGGCTTCTTTTGCTTTACCACTTGAGCCACACACCACTTCCAGCTTATTTTGGTAGTTAATTGGAGATAAGAGTCTCACGGACTTTCCTGCCCAGCTGGCTTTGAACTGTGATCCTCAGATCTCTGCCTTCTGGGTAGCTAGGATTACAGGCATGAACTACTGGTGTTCTGCCCAGAGTACAGTTTTTAAGGCAATTCTCCTACTCCAACTCCTACCTGTAGCTTAAAACCCTTCCATTGGTGTTAAATTGCTCTTACACTTTAACAAAATGATTAGGACCACTTCTACATAGTTCAAAGTATTAAATGAGCTAATATATGAAATGATTAAAGTTGTTGGGCCTTTCACCTAAAACAGAATGGCTGTTACCATTGAGCCTCATTTTGTACTGTTTACTTTCTATGCTCACTGCTCTTTAAGGATCTAGAATGAGAATTGCAGCACTTTATCCATCATAGGACTTGTGTTCATGCAGTTCCATTGTATTGAAATACAGATCTTTGTATCTTTCAGATCTCAGCTCATTCATCATTTCTTCCAGGAAATACTCCCTAATTTCTTTCATAGAATAAGACTGGTGGCTGTGTATTTTCATGCACCATGAACCTCTAGCACTCATGCCTTTGTAGTTTTTGTATTTGTTTGGGTGAGGTTGGGCTTACTGAATTGTAAATCCCATAAGGACAGGAATTGTGTTTGTGTCATTGTCATTGTTCAAGTTTGTATTTCCTATGTTTTTTTTTCTAATAGTAGTTAGTTGCTCAGTAATATTGTTAAAAAATAAGAGAAGTGAGTGTGGTATCAAGGCAGTTTTCAAGGTATGGATTCTTCAGTTAGATTTAAGAGCAGTGGGGACATAGGGAATATTTACCTTATTGTGTTCAGAATATATGAACATCTGATTTATCACAGAACAAAAAATATACACATTACTTCATACACGTTACTACTGCTACAGTGCCAGAATGTCATCTGGTGGCTTTTACTGTGGCATA